TGACCAAGGTTGTGGAGCAAAAGAGTAACCAGTTAATATTTTACTCTTGTCCCAACACAAAGATGTAGAGAACTTGCTACTAGTATACCAGATAGGATCATTTCTGAGGGCAGAACACCACAACTGGGACAAGAAGTCCTTGGGCTGTCTCTTTCTGCTCTCTTCAGAAACTGCAGAGAGTTAACCAAGATTTCAGAGCTTTGCTGTCTGTCAGGTGGTGTGACTTCTTAGGGATCCCAATAGAGTTTTTTGAGTAAAGTAGATCTGTAATTTTTGAATATAAAAATATTTTCCTTTTTTCCTGATAGGTATATTACATTGAGTCTGATCAGACAGAGAGAAATATTAGTCTTTAATTACTCACTGATCTTTGATTATTTCACATTCAGTTCTCTTTCATGGTCTGCTATTTTACTACTGTTAGCATGGACTCTTTCTAAGCCTTTCCTAGCAGACCTCAAGTCTCTCTAATCTTCCTGGTACTCTAATTTGCCAAGTAATTTAGTTTGCTGTGTCATGCCTGCTCCCCTGATTTAGCTTTCATGTTGTGGTTTATGTCTCAGTTCTTTTTAGTATTCAGTAACTCAATAGTCTTTGGGTCACAGTGTTGAACTGTACCAGTACAATCCAAATTCTAGTCAAAGCTGAAGTATGGGATGAAATATTCTGCAGATACTTCGGGAGCACTGATGTCAGTGAGAGGAAAGTGAATCCATTCAAAATGTCAAGTGTATACAGTTGTTGGTATTTCTTGCATTTTTAGGGGGGGAATTTATTTTGGTAGTTTTCTTCTTTCTCATTTTATGATGGAAATTTCTTCATTGTTCAGTTTGGTCTCCTGTGTTCCTGCTTCATAGAGAAATAAAGAAAACCATATGAAACACCAGAAGGAGTTAAGTGAATAAGTGCTTTTAAATTTTTCTGGAAAATATAATTGAGTTTTATCTAGAGTAATTACTCTTTTCTTGAGTTTCAGCCTAATATAATCCTAAATCCCTAGAGGCATTCACTTGTGCAGATGGTATCTGACAAACAAAAAAATAATTTGCAAGTTTACTCTATTTTTCTACCTAATTACTGTGATGAAAATAAAAAGGAAGCTATTTATGAAAGTGGACATAGAGCTCTACTCTGTACCCTCAAAGGGATGTGTAGTAGTTATGCCCCCCAAATTCCATTATTGGTAAAGTGTATTCATGCAAAGACTTCGGCTCCTGTGCTTGTCTCTGATAATTTAGCCTCAATCTGATGCAACAACAATGATTTTATTTTATTTTCTGGCTGCTGGTTGCCGCTAAAGTGTTTGCTGTTCCCACAGGAGCGCTTTTGCTATACAAACTGAACAGCTATTTGATCGTTGACACTGGCACTGATTTGTGCAGTAACAGGATGATTAAGTGTATTAGCAGAGTGCCTCATTTACTTACTGATAGGCAACAAACCCTTTGTCTCTTTTCTTTTTTATGATTTTTTCATCTCTTCGCTTTTATGCTTCACTGAGCTCGTATTAGCAATTGACCCACAATGTGGAAATGCAGGCACCACACGATGGCTTTAGGCAAACAGAAGGATCATCAGTGTACACAGGGCTGAATCAATTTCTCCATTCTCTGTAAGAATGAAATAGCTTTTTGAGGCACCTCCATTTGAGCTTTCCTGAAATCCACACAGTGCAGCATAATTGCTTGCAGAGACTTGTCCTAATTGGCAGCTTAAGGAAAGAGGACCAGACAGTTCATACCACTTTCCACATGGAAAGTTCTCCAGAGACCCTTGAAACAATTAAAAGCGTTTCTCTCTTTCTGCCTAAGGTTCATGACTTGAAGCAGCAGATTAAATGATAGCAAATCACACATTGAGGAGTCTGTGAACTTTTCCCAAAGTGGATGACATCCTCTGGAAAAAGACAGCTTGGGAAGGAGAGGAGTACTCAGGAGAGAGGAGAGGTTTTGTACTTAACTTTTCTGTAGTACTCCACCCATTGTTTTATATGTGTGCATATGTGTGCATATGTGCATCTGTAAAAAATTTTATCTGGATCTTTCCCCTGTGAAAGCTTTGGAGCTCTCTTTTTTACTTTATTTGTAATCAAATTGATTGGTTCATTACAGATCCTGAAGGCTTGCATGTTGTTTATTTAGTAAGGAGGTTTATATTTTCTCTTTTTTTTTTCATACTGAGTTATTTCAGTGTTTCTCCTCCAGTGTCTCCTACTCTCTCTCTCTAGGCTTAAAAGTAAAACATTTCCTAATTTGTTCCTCTTAAACTTTTGGGTTGGAATGGATGATGAAAGTGCTACTTCCTAAGAAGTCTGTCTGAACAAGTGCTTATGTTTTCTCTTGGTAGGTGGCTAAAAAAATCAAAGAAAAACTGTTTACTGAGGTTTTAGAATGGAGGTTTTTAAAATATAGTGAATAATCTAAGGGATTTTTTTTTATTCTCCTTGGTATTGAATAGACATAGATAAGGCTTTTTTTCTCTCAAAACAAACACCCCCACTGGTTCCACATGTAGTCCGTTCTGGAGATGCTACATCTGTGATTTACTTCTGCAATGAACAGCAGCATCTTTCAGAATACTCTCAGCCAGCCTGAACTCTCACCTCAACCAGACAGGCTCACTTCTTTCTCAAAATATTCTCACTGTTATCTTGAACTCTCACGCTGGCAGTCACCTTGTAATCACAGCAGACACAACAGATGCTTCCCCTGGGAGTGATGTACAAAATACAGTGTTTTTTAAGTGCAAGGAGGTATTGCTCATTTCCCAGCTGCAGGTGAGAATAAATCTAACTGGCAGGTAAATACATATTTATTAAGCCAGGAAGGTTAGAAATATCCATTTGTTGTTTCCATAGCATCCTTTATATTTAATATCCCATTAAAATTAATGTATAGGGAAGAAACTTTTTCACAAAATACTTCCTGTTAGACTCTTTGATCCTTAAGATCTGTTTTAGTTTTTTATCTGATGAGCATCCTACACACTGGTTCTAGAGAAGAGACTGGAGGAGAGAGCATAGAAAAAGATCAACAAAGAGTCCTGCTTTCACTTATCTCCCATAAGCTGTTTGCTTTGTAGCACAAAATGTCAGCACATTTATGTTTTAGACACATTATTATGCTCAGGGATGCTGAGAACCCCTTGTCCAATGTAACTGACAAGATAGCTTATCACAACTATTATCACTTTCATCTTCAACAAAGTCCAGCCAACTGGCTTTTGTTATGCATAGTTACTACAGAGGAGAATTAATAAAAAAATACTCTTTAAATTCTGGAATTCTGGTTTGTGTTCCTTTTTTCCCAATTTCCCCTGAATCCTATCACCTGGAACGAACTTGTACTACAGACATTGCAGCACCGGAGTTCTTGTCTATCTCCACATCTACTGTTTTTATCATAAATATATATTCTGGTTTTTGCTATTCAGGGCATATATCTGATATAAACAGATGCTTTTAAAGTGAGCTCTTCAGCTGTGGTAAGTAGAGGCTGTATGCAGGGGTTAAGCATGGTCTGCTTACAGTGAATGTGCTTTTTTTTTTTAACTCTGCCTGGCTATGGAGTAATGCTTTTGCAATGTAATTATTCTTTACAATGGGATGTCTTTGTCAAAAGACAAGAGCCATCTAGATCAGAAAATCCTAAGACTTAGCATCCTAGTTTCTGAAATAATTGAAATATTTCAAAAGCAAAGACCTTCCAGAACTTGTCTTCACCTTCCAGGTACAATGGCAAGATAAGCATCCATGCCATGGCACTGAAAGGAAGGAGACATTGTGCTTCAATAATTTCCTTTCAACTGTCAGTACAAGAAACATGAATGTGAACTTTATGGAAATTGCAGAGAAGAGAACATGAAGTGAAAGGAATGTGTGCCTGTGGATGGCTTGTTTTGAAGTGGGCTGTGCTGAGGAGACCTGTGCATCCACAGGTGTCCAAACAACTTAACTTTGGCAGTACCCATATACTTAAAACCCACAAGGTCACAGCTGCTTATATGTTTTACAACAGCTGGAGATAGCAGCAGAATGGAAAACAGGGTAGTATAGCTGACCTTTCAGCCCTTTATGTGCTGGGAACCCCAAGTTGTACAGCTCTGGATGGATTTCCTAATCAATCACAGCGCACTGCACAGATCCCTTGTTCACTGACATGATAATCTTTAGAGCTCCTGAAGAGTTTTTTAGAAGTAAACAATTCCATTCATCATTTCTGCTGTCAAATGAAAAGGATGTTTACATGAGAACATACTGCTTGCTTTGATACAAAGACAAGGCCGTGCCAGTGGTGTCATGACCAGCTGTCAAGTGGGAGATGCCTGCAGGCTTCTCTGATAGAATCAGCCACTGGGTTTATGCTGCAGCCACGTGATACCTGCAGCCAGGCACAGCATAGGCACACACTGCCCTCAGGTCAGCTCTTGAGGGAATGGCTAGCCTTTCAATGTACAATAGTATTCTAGTTAGGATCACTATAGCTGCCAAAACAAGGCATGAAATTATCCTCAGTTTTCTTTCTGAACAAGTTAACAATCACAAGAGAAATTATAATAGTGTTTTCATGTTTATAGACTGAATAATTCTTAGGATAACAACAAAGAATACTCAGACCTCTTGAACTTGCTTTGTAATGCAAATACATATTTCATAAAATAAATATTGTTAGTTTAGCAGTAAACAAGCATCATTAGATGTTGCATACAAAACGCTGGTGAAAAGTAAGTTGTCTGCAGACTTGGGCCGTGAAAATGTAACCAGGTGTGCTGGGAAAGAAGTCAATTCATCATTTAATTTCTCTGTCACCATAAAAAAAAAAAAAGAGTGCTGATGGCCAAATCAAGTGGTTTCCTGGCATCATCAATGCAATTATTTCCACTCCTTTGAATTTTGCATCCAGGTGCTTCTGTTAGCCCTTACTCTGTTGTGAGCTCGGGTGCCTCACTGCCTGTGGTGGGTTGTTCACTTTGTCCCCCTCTCTCTGTCCGTGTGTTCGCAGTGGTCAGTGTACATCCGCGCTGCCGTCCGCAAGGAGAAAGGATTGCCCATCCTGGTGGAGCTGCTCCGGATAGACAATGACCGGGTGGTATGTGCAGTTGCTACAGCTTTACGAAACATGGCCTTAGATGTCAGAAATAAAGAGTTAATAGGTATGTTCTTTCCAAACAATCTATATCTACTGTGGGCTTGGGGGTGGTGGTTTTTTTGTTTCCAGTTCACAGCAGAATGAGCACAATGAAAATTATTCTCACATTTCTAGAACAATTTCTTTAATTCTTTCTCTAGTGTGTCATGCTCAGATTTTATGTGACAGCTTGCTAGTATATATCAAGGAATTGTTAAATTAATTAAACATCATGCAATGTTTCTTGATCTTTCAGGCTGTAATCTCTGTAAGAAAAGCTATGGCTTTGTTCTGCTTTAGCATTTCATTCTTAGGCTGGCACTTGCATCTTCCAGATCAAGGATCTAAGCAGGGCACCCCCTCCTGATCCTCAGATTACCTATTGCACGTAACTTTGGAGTCATGAAATAACAAGTCATAAAAATTTTAAGAAGGTTACAGGAATTTACTGGGCAGATTAGTAGCTCCAGAAAGAGAACTGGGAGACTCTTGCTTCACAAACAAATATGGTCTAAAGGAAAATATGGTCTTAAGGAATAGGACAATAATTTATGTAAATCGTTATTGCCCCGAATTCTGATAGTACAGGAAGCACACATATGGGGTTTTTATTTTGTTCAGGTTTTTAGTGGGTTTTTTTAGCTGAAATTCATCCAAACACTGTGGGTCATTGAGCTTTTATTTTCATGTTCTGTCTTTGAAAAATAATCACTTCCTTGATTTTTAACTATTTCAACAATCATAACCAGCTTATTTCTACTTCTGTACATTAAGAGCATATTTTCTGTTAATTTTTCCTGACTTGTTGATTTGTTATCATTACAGCATATTTCTTCTCTGCTTTTAATTACAGAATAATATAAATAGATACTATGATCATAATGTTTAGTACTTGCATCCAGTGCTGTCTTAGGGTTAATGCTTCTTTACAGCAGTGCTCTGCAAGTTGTTAAAACAAGGCAATCACTCCTCTCATATTGGGAGGGGTGTCTTATTGTACTAATGTTCCCAGATCTACAAATTTCATTTAGGAATGTAACACTATACATTTAAAATTGAGCTGTTTCACTCTGGTGTGCCATTCAAAATACTGGTTAAATTATGGATAGTTAATTGGCACAACCTCAACATTTTAGTATTTTATGAAATTCTTAAATAACACATCATAAAAGCAAAGATAAATTTAAAAAATGTGGGAAGAGTCTGGTGAATATAATAACCTAATATATTTATTTATGTAGCCAGCTGATAATAGCTGTAGAGGGCTCCTCTGCTTTATGTTATTTGTAGGGTTATTCTGAGAAATTGTACTTCATAATTGCAATAGTAATTCGCTGCAGCTTAAAAACAGTCCAAACATGCCAATATGACAGGGGAGTTATGATTATAATTCTTGGACCATTTCAGCTGTGATCTTTGTATGTTCATTTCTTTGGCTTTCATCATTGAACTTCAAAGAAACAGTAATAGCGGTCATTACTGCTCTTGTTCTCTAGTATTTCTTAGCAAATAGGGCCTATCATGCAGCTGATTTTCAGAAATGCTAAACATCAGCAGTAGTCAAGGATTTCAACTCATGTTGTAGTCCATCCATTTTTGTGATATTGCACTTCTGTGTATTGTATATGTATTGGAGGTGCCTTATCTGTTGCTCTGCAAAGGAAGCCTCAAAAGGAGCTTGTGCTTTATCAGGGTAGTTCCTCAAGCATCCTTCTGCCTAGGCAAAATCAACATGCTATTTATCTTTTCTCTTTCTGATTGTTGTTAGTGCATCAGGTTCTTGTGCTGACACATTCTGCCTCACAAGCTGGAATTTTCCCCATAAAACAACCTTTCCTAAAGGTTATCTTTCCTAAAGGAGAATTTTCCAACTGTATATATAGTAAAGTTACATAGCTAGAATTGAGTCGGTTAAGGGGTTTTTAGTGCCTTTATAAAGCTTTCTTTTCAGTGGTGCTGTCGTTCCATTCCCAACTGACATTTTTTTACAGAAATGTGCCAGAGAATGATATATTTAATTCTGCTGCTGCCAAGCAGGCCATAAATCAGTATTGAGGAACCTGGAAAATATATTAGAAACCTTGCCAAAATCCAGGCTCACCTGTACTGCACTACAGAACAAACACAAAGACCCTTTTCTCGATGGCCAGAAGTTTTGTACTAGACTTCATTGAATTGACCAATCTGTTTTGTTTTTCACACAGATCTATCAACTATGATGCTATATTGCTAAAGGCTGGTGAGAGGCTTCTCTTATAATTTATCTGAGCCATCCCCATAGCAACATTTTCTTTATTTATATTGAGGTCTTCTTCCTGGGTTTCATTTCAGGCATGCTCCATGTCTTTAAGAGGACCTGCTCTTTTCTCCTTCTTCATTGATTTTGCATTGTGCCGTGTGTCCCTTGGCTGAGACAGCAGACATATTCATCCTTCTCCTTCCCAAAATTCAATTGCACTCAAAAACATGGTAAATCTGGCCTGGAATAGATAATGCAACACCCAGTTTTCTCTTCTTGAACACACTGCCCAGGTGCATTCCTGATCACGGGTTAGACCACATTCATTTTCACTTGACTTCCAGGACCCTTGTTTGCATTAAATAGTACATAGTATTTGTTGTTCCCAAGAGAGCACCCAAGGGAAAGGTTTCTCAGCCTTTTCTCCCACAGCTGAGGAAAAGATCCACTACTGATCTTGCCTGTTTTGTTCTTCCTTGGTTTCAGTGATCTAGACTGCACAGCATCCCTGTGTCCCTCTGGTATCACATTTTTCCACTTCTATTCATGTGCTCAGCATTTTGGAAGGCTTCTTTTCCTTCCTTGAAGCAGCTTCTGTCTCTGCTAAACTTCTCCATGGGTCCATTAGCTTCTCCCCCCCAGCCCTTGTAAATGTCACTGAATTGACAAAAATCACTTTTATTTGTTTTCAACTGTTCACTTAGGCAGAAGAAAATCACTTTTGTTCCACAGGTCCTCTAAAAGCTATGTTGATGACCTTTGTGCAGTTATGTCATTCCCATGTTCTTTCCCTCTTCTTCATCTGTCCCTTCCTCTCAAAAAAAAAGGTGAGTAAGGGAAAGTAGAATAACAAACCCACCATTCTGTGTTCCTCAGAGCTATACTGGCACCTTAGTTTGAGGATATGATATTATTCTCTTTCTGCTGGGAATGCAGTTTTTAAATTGAGGATTTTCTGCAGACCTCTTGCTTCTGGCAGTGCTGGTCAGGCCAGCACCTCACACCAAAGCTGTGCCACTGTCTTCCCTACAGGAGTGCACCTACAAACTCCATTTTCTAAAGCCACATTTTGTTGCCATGGTATCAGAAAACCTAATACAATACAATACAATACAATACAATAATATTGCTAATACAATATAGTTTCTTTTCTTTAATTACAAATAACTTGGATGAGCTGGATGGGGCAGAAAAGTAAAAAATAAACCCATCTCCTGTAAACAGCATCTTTGCAGGATGAATTGTTTCCTTGCAGTCTGCCCCAGCAACCTTTAATGGCTTTCTGGTCCAAACGCCCTCCACACCTTTCTGGTTCAAAAGTCCTCCTCTGGACTTTTAGGGAACTTTCTGTGGTTACCTGAGCCTGCACTGTACACTTGTGTCCTTGGGATTCTCCCAGCCAGCAGTGGTGCAGCAGCCTCCCTTCTCTACCCACTCTGCATGTGAGGTTTCCAAGTCAGGATTCCCCATTCAGTCCTGGGAAACAAGCCAGCTTCATCTTTCCTTTATCTGAAAGACAGACAGCATTTTCCTCTCCGCTGCTATCCATGACCTCTTTAACAAAGGAGATTATGCATTCTACAGTTAATTGAAAAATAATGTGACTTGTTATTCTACCTAAACAAGCAGGTACAGACTATTCCTGTCTGAAATTTTTGAAGGATGACTATCCCCAAAATTTGCGTTTTCCTTGTTCTTCTGTTTGCACGGCAGTTACCTTTTATTTTAAATGGCAATTACTGTGGTATTTTAAAGTGCAGTAGGTGGTCTTTCAAACAAGTTAGGCTGATTTTTCTAGCTGCCCCAGATGAGAAATTTGTCACTATTCATGTACTGCAAAATATGTAGAATATAGGATTTTTCCTCTTGAAGGAAAATTTGGAATTTGTATTAGTACTGTTCAGTAGTAAGTCCACAGAGTACGGGCTTTGGAGAGAAAGCAGAGCTGGAGGTAAAATGTATAAAACTTCAATGCACAGTTTTGTGCTTTAAGTCGTTCTGTCACTTTCATTTTATCCTGACAATGGTTTCTAATGCTGTTCTGGGTCAGAATTCTGATTAAGAGGAATATTGTACTAGTAATTGAAAAGAACCATTCTTTCTCTTGGCCTCTTGATCTGCACTTTTGCAGTAAAATAAAATATTTTTTTTCCTTTTTTAGAGACTGGTATTATTTTAATCCCTTGGGAAAAAGGAGGACAGTTCCACTTAAAAGTTTTTGTTGACTTCTTGTATTGTGTAGAAAAGAAGTCCTTGCATATCTATGCCCTTAAAATGTTTAGAGAATCCAGGTGTCTGTTCAGGGCTCTAGATTCTATGGAGTTTAATGGGATAAGTTGAAGTGTTATAATATTTAAAACTTTCTTGTTACTACTGTTCTTGTAAAAGCTTGATTCAGATAAGTAAAGTTAGTGGTACAATTTCTTCTGCCTTCACAGAGTTTTGAATTAGGTTTCAAAACAGGGCCTGTAGCAGGGCTCATTTTTAAATAATGGTTCTTGAGTTGGGGACTGTGTGTCTGTACTGAATTATTATCCTCTTTTCACTGTTTGTCTGTCAGTAATGCAGTTATACATGCAAAATTCAACAGTAGCACATCAATTAAATTATTACCTAATGGGTGCTGGAAACTGCTTACTTTTGCTAGGTGTCTAGAAGTTCATTGTCTAAGATAAGATGCCTGTATTGGATGCCCTTATAGGTGACTGAGAGACTCACAGAAAGTGACTTATTTTGTCTAAAAATAAGATACTACTTATTGTGAGAAGATGGAAGTTACCCTATAT